CCCGGCTGCAGTTTTACAGCCTTTATTTCTTACGACAGGTGCTGTGTAAATAACCTTAAGAGATCTGACTAGCTGTGGAGGTGGGGGTGTGCGTTTGTTTTGTTTTAAGGAGTTAGGCAAGCATAGCTTTAAAGAACAAATTAAAAGCGCAGGTTCCAGCGCCGTGTGCAGTAGAAAGTTTTTGATTGTCTTCTGTGTGTTATAGGTGAAATGTATTTCATGTGCTGAACCTTGGATTGTCTCATTGCTGCACATTCAGAACTTCATAAAAAGTAGGAAGTCAAGATGAAGAGCAGGGTGACGCAAGTAAATGTAAGTGTTCTTAAACCTAAATTGTGGGGTTTGATTACTCTGTTTTTACTGGTGATGAGGTTTGCAGTTGATGTTGCGCTAAATAAAACTCCCTGAGGGTAAAGCAAGCAATATCCATGATTGATAGCAGCTGTTTACAAGAGAAATATTACTGTGAATTCAGTGAGTTACTGTTGTTTCTAATGCTTGTCATCCTAACGATGGAAGTTCTGAACATTATTAGCACATAATGATAAAGTAATTGGTGAAAAGTGACTGAATGATGGCTTAGCAAAGAACATAGGCATGTGGAGGAATGGAGAAAAGAGGTGTTGAAAAATTAACAGTGATGTTAAAATGGAAAGATAAAGAGGCGGGAAGTAGCAGTAATTGTGGCAACTGTATTTCTTCACGTGAAAGTTAAAGCTTCCCAATCTAGTGGATATGGTAGTGCTCCCTCATCTGTCAAAATAAGCCAGTTGGTGAAAGCACACTGTTTGGACACTTTCCGCTAATAATTTTGATCAAAATGGACAAGGAAGAAGACTAACTTGTGGCAGAAAGCCTGTTCACGAAGAGCTGAGGGTGACAAGTTCTTCAGCAAACATAGCTCCTTTTGCAAGGAGGCATGAGAACTGCCAAATACAGAGACATCTGTAACGTTTTATTTCTGTGAACGCTTGTCTTTTTGGGTCTGCTTGGGCAAAGGCAGATGATGTAGAACTCATTAGAATGGATCATCCTAAAAAGACCCCCCTCTTCCTATCTGCTAAGTATTATTCAAATACAGTAACTGTTCTGTGTTTTTCAAAGATTTTTATTACCAGTTTCTTGGAAGCTCAGGATACAGTCTTGCATTGTATTATTTTGCGAAAAACCCCAGCAACTTAAGGACTTTTCTTAACCTTGAGTTATTTCAGTGATCTGCTATATGGTGTAGTCCCACAAATGAGTATTGAAAAGGGAAGAAAACCATGGTGAAAATATGGCAATTTCTTTTACTAGCTTTGCCATCAAAGATAATGTTACTCTGGAATTAAATTGTCAGATGGATGTTCTTTTGTAGGGATGCATACTCCCAGTAAATGATACAATGCGTTTGTTTTGTGCCATTGTCTTGGTTCAGGCAAGATAATACTGGCAATAATTTTAAAACAGTGTTGGAAACATACCCTAGAGAAGGTTACATTCTCAGGTATGTTATAGTGGTCTCAAACATAAATATATGTATTTATGTGTATATATGCACATACACACCAATTTCATAGAATCATAGAATGCTTTGGGTTGGAAGGGACCTTGAGAGATCATCGAGCCCAACCCCCCTGCAGTAAGCAGGGATTGAACCTGTGAACTTGGCATTATTAGCACCAGGCTCTAACCAACTGAGCTAACCCAGCTGGTTTTTGAGTGATAGTAAGTCAGCCTCATCAGTCTGTTGATAGAATGATGCTCATGTTTGTGTTGCTGTTATTTCTTTCGGAAGCCTCAGTCAATGTTGATTTTATTTGCACAGCTTATTGTAAACACCACACTTGCCATTTAGTAAAGATACTTTTCTTTCTTATTAAGTTTTCGGAGATCATTGGGTATAACTGTCCATCAGGGTCTGTTTATGAAGGGGGTCTCATGGTATTGACTAACCGACAGTTTTAACTGGTTCTTTGGTGGGGCAAAAAACTAGTGTGCCAGCATGTTAATGGATAGAATGCCACTTCAACAAATGAGATTAATATTTCTGCAAAAAGTTCAGTCAAGGTGCATAAGCAAGTCCTTGTGTTGAGTTTCTGCATGAAGGTGAAGTGTTACCTATTTCACAGCTGATCACTGGCTGATAACATGAGATTCTAGTTCTGAAAAATCATAAATAATATTTTAATGGAAGAGAGGACCTTTACAATGAAAGTATAGAGGTGATAAAAGCTGCTTTTTAGCTGTACCAAAGTAGTTTTGAAACATCTTGATGAGGTCAGTGTCTTTCTCTGTGTGTTGTACATACTGTCATACTCCGATTTTTGTGTATGACTCCATAATTCTATGATTCTATATGTCATGGTTCAGACCACAGAATTTGCTGTGAACTACTTAAGTGTTTATCACTTAAACAATCCTACAAACTTAAATTTCAAGAATCTAGAATTAAATTTCCTTCCAGGATCTGTCAAGGGGAACAGCGTAACTTAGGTGTTTATAATGTATGAAGCTAGGAATGACTCATGAGGAAATAAATCATGGTTAGTAAAAAGGAGGAAGGTAAGGAAAATATGCAATAAAGGGGATCTTTAGGAGAGAGGAAAGACACTCTTCAAACAAGAAGTGGTAGAATTCTGTTAATGGTATTGCATGTGATGCAACAAAGTGTAAAATGACATATGGAAGAAGGAAGCAGGAGAAGCAGACTGAAGGTCCATCTCTTCTGGTCTCCAACAGTAATCCAGAGTAGATGCCTTGAAAAGTTTAGAAACCATAGTTAGAGCAACCACAAAAGTACTCGCCTACGTACTCTCCCAGTCTCTGCCTGTTTGCAGCTTCCTGAGACAGATAATTTATTTGGTAACCCATGTGAATTTTTCTTCAGTGTTTGTCCAGTATCTTGAACCCATGTAAGCATCTGGCATCTGCAAGCACCCTGCAGCAGGGAGTCCAGCTGCTTAACTACTTGTTATTTAGAACCATCTCTCCTTGTCATAACTGACTGCCATTAGCTTTATTTGATGACCCTTACTTCTTGTGGAGGAGTAGGGAACCAAAGACATGGAATGCTTTGATCTCAAGGTACGTGTGCTCACAGTAATTAACATATAATGTTGGAGCTTGATTTTTTTTCTTTCTGTTTTCTTAAAGCATGGTTCCAGTTATGAAAGGAAGGAAGACTACAGTTCTCGCCGAAGAAGTTTGTCTCCAGATGACAGGTAGAATGATTGATTTTTGTGCCCTACAATTCTGTATATATAAGCCACATAGTGAGTTAGATAAGTTTAAAAAAAAAAAAAATCAGGTTCTGTTTCTTCTTATATATTACCATAACTGAGCAGTGAAAAATAAGTGTCAGTTTAATAAAATACTTGAACATCAATATAGCAGTAATTAGATTTATTATTAAAACTAAATCTTTAAAAAATCCTTAGCATTTAGGTAAATTGTCACAGGACTTGGAAATTAGATGCCAATTTTTTTTTGCTTGGACTCACATATTGCTGATACCACAATTGTCCCTTTAGAGCAAGGTTATTGATGCCAGCAGGGGGTGTAGAAATATAATTTGAAGTGCAATCTACTGAGGGATGAGATGAACTGTTACCAGTTTACTTTTATTTTTATGTTTTAATTGGAATGAAACCTCTTGTACTAAATGCAATATAATTTTTTTCTAATAGTGTCTATTCTGTTTCATGCTACGCAGGCAAAAGTAGGTGAAACAGATGAATGCCTGTGCTCCAAGGAATGCATAGTGTTGAAGTTACCTTTGGTATTTGATGTTATTACCATTTAGCATTTAATCTTAAGTTCTAGGAGGAGCTTCCTTTTACAGTGCTTCTCTTGATTATTTTTTTTAATTATTTTTTTCTGACAACAAATTATTGGAAAAGGAGCATCTGCTCTTTGAGTGATGCATATATTGAAACTCGGGTCACAGAAGTGGAACGGTTACTATACATGTAACGCTGTGTTGCAAGTAGATACTAATAGCATTGCTTTTCTAAGCCTGTTACTAAGAATTTTGTGTCTTGGGTTGCAAATAGGGATATAGAGCGTGACAGGTCTCCATCTCCCAGAAAGAGAAGGTACTCTGATGACAGCAGATATGATCAAGAATATTCAAGAAGGGAATACTATGATGACAGAACTTCAGAAGGAAGGTGAGTATCAAGCCCTTTCTTAATCAGTAAAGAATAAAATGTGAAAACTTTTCACAAAACCTTGGGTGGTTTTTGGATTTTGTTTTTTCCTTTTTTTTAAGAAGGATGGAAAGGGGTAGAGAGAGACACCATGAGAAATGGGAGGAGAGAGAATCTGATCGAAGGAGGCAGAGAAGATACTCATCACCTGATCGTAGGAGTCCAGAGAGATCAACAGTCCAGAGCTCACTTGCTCATGATGAGACCACTTCAAAGAAGAAGAAGGAAGAAGTGGATCCAATCCTTACTCGCACAGGTGGTGCATATATTCCTCCTGCCAAGCTCAGGATGATGCAAGAGCAAATCACTGATAAAAATAGGTGAGTTGGAAGTAGCATATTAGAATTTTTACTGAAAAGCAAAAAAGTAAAGGGTTTTAGTGAATGTTGGTGAAAATGGGATACCTTTTGAGGGCTGTGATTTTTCTTTTGAAGGTATATTTTTATTAGAAGAAAGGTGAGAGATTATGACTGTACCTGCTTCTGCTGCAAAGTGTAAATGGAAAAGTGGGATACAGAACATAACCAGGGATTTTTTGGAATATCTTAGAAAATTGAACATAGTGGGTTATAACATATGTGCAGAGAATTACATTTTGGTGTATCATGTTGGTTCAGTGACTTCCTAGTAGCTAAATGTATAATTGTGAGCTAGTCTTCATATTTATGCAGTGAATATTTTCTTACCTATTTTACTTATTACAACTTACATTCAAGTCATATATATAGATGTAAATTCACTCGGTGCTACCTCAGATTTATGCATTAATAATTTTTGATACCTTTGTAATAGCTTGGCATATCAGAGGATGAGTTGGGAAGCCCTGAAGAAATCAATCAATGGTCTTGTCAACAAAGTGAACGTTTCTAATATAGAAAATATCATTCATGAGCTCCTGCAGGAAAATATTGTTCGGGGAAGGTAAGCCTTAGTATTTAAAAACAATTCTTTTGCTTTTCTGCTAATAAGTGTACTGTTTGTGTGTACATAGCTGTGTACTATGTGTAGTGTATGGATGCTAGTCAGAGTTTAAAATTAACCTTAGTCTGTATTGTCCTATGCAGAGTAGTCCCCTACTTGGGGAAGGGTCCAGCAGGGAAGGATTGTATGCTTGAAGGACTAAGAGTGCAACAGATGGTATATGTTTCCTTTTCTTAAAGGTTTTATCTACGTGTTTTACTTGAAAGATTTGCAATTTACAGGTGTGTCTGTCTATTTATGTTTGTATTTTGGGATTTTTGCTGTGGGACAAATAATATTTGTAGCCAGTATTTAGCAAAACAAGTTTTGCTACAGTTATTTGGCTGGATTGTTTATTGTTGTAATGTAGAGAAAACATTCTTATGCTATTTGAGCTCAGTACTAAGTCATGGTGGCTGTGCAAGTACTGTGTGATGACTTTCCTTGCTTTAATTTTGATGTCAATAGAAGTTAAATATGTGAATCTAAATTAGTATGGGTTTCTTAGATTGGCTACCGTTTAAACAAACAAGACCAAGCCACTACCAACAAAAGAAACCCTCTGAACAAAATATCCAGAAATAATTCTGTTACATTTCAAACAGCTCGCAACACATTTTCTGTTGCAAAGGAATGTGTTACTTTCATGAATGTCATACCTGATGGGAAAATCAGAATCCTGCAAATAGCATAAAAATAACATAAGGGAATTAAGTAAAATCTAGAGAGTGAGCAAGTAGTGTCTGAATGTGATGTCTGTTAAAAGTAATAATGAAGTCTCGAACAGTCTATTGAACTGCTTTTTACTTGTATGAAGTTTTGGGGACATGAAGTGCAGACAAATAGTAATATTTTAATTTAAAAATAAGCTTATTGAATGTTTTTAGAATACACTTGTCCGTGGAAGTTTTTATGTGTGGCTTATAAATTTCAAAATGATGTAGATGGAAAATGACACCATTTCCCTTCTTCTTACAGTTAATTTTGACTTCCAGATTTGCACAAAGGTGCATATAAAAGTAATGACATGAAGTTTTACCTAGCTGTAAAGTGCTTTTCTGAGTTTTCAAGCTAGAGGGTGAATATGATCTGAACCAGACCAGTTTCAGTTTGTAAGCGACAAGTAACTAATAGTTTCAAAATGAAATATTCTGTTTCTGTGCACTAGTATGAAATGAGTTCCATTCCATTTGTCAACTCCAAAGTAAGTAGGAATAGTGTCCTTATGCAGTTTGTATTTAGTACCATGTAGGAGGGGGTTTGGAAGATTTCAGTAGACCACAGAGAAGATAGAGTAGGATACCAGTGTGCACTTTGAAGATTCACGTTTGGAGGGCTTTTCCCCCCACACACACCCACCCATTTGTCATAGAATAATACAGCAACAGTCAAATTCTGTGTGCTAAAGCATTAGGAAAAAGCAAAACTGAGAGGGGGGGTGTGGAAAAAAGTCTCAGTTTCTTTTCAGACTTTAGTCTTGATATAAATGTAAGAGAGGCCATTAGTACAATAAAAGAACTATTATCTCATGAGCCCTGTGTTTACATTCACTTAAGCTCTAAGTAGTAGTCTTCTATAATCAGTTTTCAGTTCCAAAATATAATTATTATGTTGAAAATATGCAGTTTCATTTGAGAAGAGCATTGAAAAGCATTACTCTACCCATTCTGCTTTTACTGAACAAACAGTTTTGTTACTCCTAGGTAGATCTTCATTGTTAGGGACCTTTTATGGAAATATAATTTTTATTTCTTGGAAATTTGTTTTGCTTGTTTGTTATCATTATACTGGAACACAGTTCTGTGTTTTTCAGAAATCGTTGCAGAGCAGATATTTTTTTTTGGTCACAAAAAGTATTTTGTTTTTTCAACTGGGGAAAAAAACCAGCACAATCACAAATTTCAAAGCTAAGAAGAGGCTGTGTTGGTGTTAAAAAGGGATGATTGCAGGATGCAAGATGAAGACTTTTTACGTGCTTATTTTCAAGTGTTCTAATAGGAACGATATTTAATGAAAGATAAGGTATCAGTTTTAAGAATTTCTCGTCTCGGACACATTTGGGCAACGCATTTTGCAAAACTCCATTTGTGGCATGATAAACGTCGGTTTGAAGATGACCATTGGGTATCTTCTAACTATTCCAACTGTAGAATACTATTTTATGTGATATGTACTGAATAAAAGCATTAAATATTTTATTACTGGAAAAATCTTAAACTTATGTATTTTTACAGGGGATTGCTGTCTAGATCCATTTTACAAGCTCAGAGTGCCTCTCCAATTTTTACCCATGTTTATGCAGCTCTTGTAGCAATTATCAATTCAAAGTTTCCGAATATTGGTGAATTGATTCTTAAGAGGTTGATACTAAATTTTCGCAAAGGATATCGCAGAAATGATAAGGTATGTAAAATGTGACGAAGCAATATGCTGAAACTTGTAATTCTGCTGTGTTAACCTTGTATCAAGTATGTTCAAATTACATACTTCAGAGGAACACAACCAAGACCTGTGGGTTGGGACCTGTCATTAATACATTCAGTATAGTAGTATCAGAATATCCTGAAAGATTGACAACCTATTCTGGGTTGGTACTGTAATAGTTTTTTTTTTTTTTTTTTTTTTTTTTCTTTCTTTGAAAGCGTACGGTCCTAATTGTGACAGCTATCAGTATCCCAAAATAGTTAGTTTAATGACTTAATTTGATTGTGAGATGCACAGATTTTAGTAAGTAAATTTTTTCTTCTATATACGATGTGTTAAAATTTCCTATTTTATTTCTTTTGCAGCAACTCTGTCTAACATCTTCAAAATTTGTTGCACATTTGATGAATCAGAATGTGGTACGTCACTTCATGTTTCTACTCAATCCAAACCCTATATGGCTATTTCTTTAGGTTCAGGACAGCAGTAGCTCTCCCTGTGCTAAAGGTTACTGAAAATCCAAGTTCAGGTTTCCTTTTAATGCCTGCTGTAAGTTGTTAGGACCTTTTAGAAAAGACATCGGTGGTTGCCTATGCAGTTATCATTGCTTACCACTGCACTACTCCAGAGCTTCCCTAGGCTTCATAAATATATCTGGGCTAGTATTAAGACAAATCTTGAAGCAAAGCAAGCTTCATCTGAGGCTCTGTCCCACCAATCTTAAACAGAGTTTTCTTGCAACACTGTTGTCTGACTTTAAACATATGTGTAGGCAGAACTAGACTCAGTTGCATCTAAATCAAATTTGTGTCCAGCTCTATGCCACTTTTTTATGTGCTAGAAATCAGGATACTCAAATTTAATGTCAAGAAGCAGTGTTTCAGGAATGCATTGGGAATATACAGCATTTTGGTAGAGAGGAACTAATCTGAGATGTGCCATTTGCGTATATGCCTGATCCTGGAAGACCTGATTTAATTATAGACCCAATGGACTTAGAACTAGTTTCTGTAATGTAAGTGCTGTTTTGTTTGCTTCTCGGAAATGCATTCTGTTTTTTTTCTTAATGGCAACATTTTTTTCACTGCTTGCTTATTCATTTCAATAGCATAGTCACATTCACTACAAAGTTGTGTAGATACAGGTCGTAAAATGGTATTTGAAATGTTGACTTCCTCTTAATTAGCTTTGTCCCACTACTGTTGCCTTGTGTGTGTGATTAAACAAGTGTGTTGTGGAATCCTCAAAGGCTGGACTGCTCTGTCAAGTAAATCACTGTAATAGTAATGTAACATTGTACATTCTAATTCTTTACTGATATTCTTTCCATAGGCTCATGAGGTTTTATGTTTGGAAATGCTCACTTTGCTTCTTGAAAGGCCTACTGATGACAGTATTGAAGTAGCAATTGGATTTATTAAAGAGAGTGGGCTCAAATTAACAGAAGTTTCTCCTAGAGGTATTAATGGTAAGTGTAATTAGCCAGAACATTTGTCTTTTTGGTGTTTATATTGATAAATCCTTTTCATATTTACATTTCTGTCTTTTTCCAAAGCAATCTTTGACCGTCTTCGACACATTCTACATGAATCTAAAATTGATATGCGTGTTCAGTATATGATAGAAGTTATGTTTGCTGTACGGAAGGATGGATTCAAAGATCATCCAATCATTCCGGAGGGATTAGATCTAGTGGAAGAGGAGGATCAGTTTACTCATATGTTGCCATTAGAAGATGACTACAACCCAGAGGATGTCCTTAGTAAGTTAGAAATGGAAGATAATTCTATGACTGTGTTCCCCATGAAAACAAATTTAAGATTAAATAGTCATTGTTTTCTTCATTTTGTATTTTAAATAAAGATTCTCTTTTATTTTAAAGATGTTTTCAAGATGGATCCGAACTTTATGGAAAATGAAGAGAAATACAAGATGCTGAAGAAAGGTAGGATGGGGTGTGTGTACACATTTTACATATAATTGCATATTTACACATTTATAGGGTGTTTACGTATCCAACTCTTGTTACCAACCTTTATTATTTAACAGTGGGTGATACTTGTGTCCCAGATAACTGTCTTTCAGTTCATCGTAGACCTTTCCAATGTATTCCTGCTATTTTCTTCAGTATTGTTTCTGCAGCTATGTTTTCATTTAGTTATGACATACCTATTCCATTGTCTCTGCCACATTCTCCACCTGAGATACCCTTTCACTCTTAAGTGTTGCATCAAATTTTTTTGATAATGAAACTACTGCGGTCTATATTCCTTTAATCTGGGATACTGCTTTTTCAGAAATTCTTGATGAAGGTGACAGTGAATCTGAAGCAGATCAAGAGGCTGGAAGTAGTGAGGAAGATGAAGAAGATGATGAAGAAGAAGATGAAGATGGTAAGTGTTATGAATGGCACCTTACTAGTGATTGACTGGCTGTAGCTGAAACAGGAAGGAAGAGCTTAACTTGTTAAACATTTTGCAGAACTAAGAATGTTCAGGGATGTTTTCATCTTAAGTTATTCTGAGATCTAAGTGTTTACTAGCAAATAGTGTAAAAGTAATGGTCTAAAAGGAAGCGTTCAGCACAGGCAGGAAATGAAAAGCAACTTTGCTTGATTGTTCCTGACCATATCAGTTTCATGTGAGAAAAGCCTTGCAAACATAAGACATTAAAAATAATGCATGTGAAAACACTTCCTTAAAAACTAGCAAGGACAACCTTTCTGGACACTTTCTAGTGCTCAGTCATATTTTTAATTCACTTTCGATATCAGAGTGGGTTTTCTTACAACTGTATTTACATACTCTATATCTCACTTCCTAGTTCAGTTCAGCCCCCTTTCTTGATCTTTAGTGGAAGCAGTCAGTGTTTACACATTTTCAAAGAATATATTTAATTCCCAGGAAAAAAAAAATCATGGATAAGCATAACTGAAATGTTTGTGCAGACTGTGTGAGTAATTGAAAAGCCAGCCAAGTCCTGTTCTTGTAGAATACCACGAATGGATTTCCTCACCAGTTTGCTGGAGTATTTCACAGAAGAGCAGAGCTTCCAGGCTGATGAAAAGTATGAGAATTCACATAACTTTTCATCATTTATGCTATTATCAAACTTTAAAAGAATGAAGGAATAGTGAATACCTTATGCACAAAGGTATTCCCGGAATGGTTGTGGTTCAGAATGGATTTTTCTACACTTGTTCAAGGACAAAACAGCACTTTGCAAAATGCTGTAATGTAGATCCTACGTATAACAGAAACAAAGAATTAATTTCCTGTTAGGGAGGCTACATAAAGCATTGTATAGTTAAATTATGCAGAAAATACCTTGCTAATAGTGACAAGAAATGTTAAACCCAGAGGTTGCAGCGGCCAAGTCAAGTGAAAGGTCTTTAAAAGGGGAGTTATCCTCTTAAAACTGTATCTTTTAAGTATTTACCTGTTAGTTACAGATGAGGCAAATACTGATTTTTTTTTTTCTTTTTGTCTCTGTAAAAATAAATTTTAAAAAACCCCATAAACCGGCTACACAGTCCTAAATAGTTCTAGAAAAAGTATTATATAGTGTTACAGACTTCGTAAATAGAACTGTTCTAAGAGATTGCATATATTTGCCTTAATGTTTTGCTCTTTACAAAACAATGTTTTTCTTTCCCAGGTCAGAAAGTTACTGTCCATGACAAAACAGAAATTAACCTGGTCTCCTTCCGTCGTACAATTTATCTTGCTATTCAGTCGAGGTAAATATAATATAATTTGTACACCTGTGAATGTACTTCTTTTGAAATGGGTGAGCTGGAATTCTCTTTCTTCTTAAATTCTTTTTTTGTGTGCAATTTAAAAAAAAAACCCACAGAAAAACCCACAGAAGTGTTCTTTATGGAGCCTGACCTAATTGTATAAGGCAGACTGTTTGGACAAATGGGTATCCAAATTCTCATTCCAAGATAAATCCTGTTTGTTTCAAAGTGTTTGAGTAGTGCACTGGGACTTTTTTATGAGGATTGCTGTAATGAAAATTTTCTGAGTGAACAAAAGTCAGTGAACTTCACATTATACAGCAACTTAAGAATTTCTGAAAAAAATGTGTGACATGGTTAAAATAGAGATGCTGTAGAGTTTCTCCACTTCTGAGAGTAAGCAGTTCTGCAGCATGGTACTCTTTAGGCCTGCTGCCATCTGCATTGTTTGGAAAATAAGTATACAGTACGCTTCAGGGTTGGTATTCATCTTGAGAATGAAATCCCCTTGCAGTACATGGCACAAGTAATCAAAACATGGTGGTCTAACTATGTCGCCTGGGTGAAAGGAGAGATTAATCTGTTGCATGCCACTCAATTCCATTGTTAAAAGTAGGCATGGCCCACAATATTCTGCAGGTCTTAACCTGCATGAGGAATGAGATAATGTAGCTGTAGTATTAGACGCATCAATTAATACCATACTGAGATGTATGAAAGGCTCTTCTATTTCTCAAAGTTACTGTTCAATACTTGAGTTTCTTCATCTTATACTTGGGTGGGGGGGAGGTCCTTACTGGTAGCTAAAGGCTTTTAATATGCAAGAATGGGAGTGCAAAGAAGAGAGTGTGGTATATACTGGTTTTGGAGCTTATGTACAGTGCTTGCATTTTAGTGTTTTTCAGGATGTGCAGAATGAGCTCACGTGTTTGTGTTTTTGCTAAGTTTTGTAAGATGATGTAATAGCAATGACCCGAGTCATCTTGTTTTCAGATTGTCTGCAAATGTAATGACTTTGGATTAATTTTCAGATATAAACTCATGAAATATAAAATGTCTATTAAAAAAACCCACAACAAACAACACAACAAAACAAATAGCTTTCTGAATGTTAATGAGATACTTTATTTCAAAACAGCTGATGTTTCAGCACCAACAATCAATATAATTCTGAAATGTTTTTAGTATGACATATATTGCACAGATAATGAAAAGTATTTTTTCTGTTGCAGCTTAGACTTTGAAGAATGTGCTCACAAATTGCTGAAGATGGACTTTCCCGAAAGTCAGACTGTAAGCCTTGCTTCTTATTCTTTTTTGTTATTAATGTTCAGCAGTAGTACTATGGTAGTAACTAGAATCCTTAACTCTTGTCATGGGACCTAGTTTGTGTAGCAAGCAGATGAATGGGAGTGATTCCTTACAGCTGTTGTTCCTTAAAATGAATCTTACAACCTTTAGAGCAAATAAATGTCTTACGAAATATGTGTCAGCCTGTCTTACGCAATTGCTTCTTTCTGTCAAGCAGTTCAAATGTTTGCTCATAGCCTGTTTGAAAATGTTTGTTGGTTGGACTGTTGAAACAATTACCCTTTGATAAAAGTACTGTAGTATCGCAGTCATTCTCAGAGCTCTGTCTCTGAAAGAACTCTGAGTTGAAGATCTACGGCTGAGGCAGCCGTAGACTTTATCAGTGGGGCTTGAAATTTAGCATAGTGCTAAAAGAATTCATTGTTTTCTTGCTTTCACAGTCCTCTTTGAATAATAGTGTGTTGAATTAAAGCAGTTGTAAGTATGATTGCTTTGTTGTAATCTTGGAGATCATCAGTCAAAATCTGTTTTGTCTTTAGACACTGTGTGTAAGATCAATTCAGTTGGTATGTTTTCAAGTAAAGGGAACTGTCCTTCAGCTAGTACTTATACTAGATCCTGGTAGAATGTAAATACCTATCTAATTATAGAAACAGCTTTTCAGTCAGCTGTAAGCTATTGTAAAAGTTGCACTTGAGGCAGCTGTTAATTTCCTTGTGGTTTTAATTATCACTGTTCTGTTTTATTTGAAACAATGTGTGTAGAAGTAACCTTTTTAGTATAATAGTAACCAGCAGGTGGAGAGCCGGGCTACAGTTAGGTGTTCTTAGAAAACTTGGTTTAATCTAGTAATCAGAAATTTGTTTGCCTATTACTTTTTTCAGTTCTTGTACTATTTTGTTACTAAGCAGTTTACATGGAAGTAAACTAAGAATTCACATGATTGTGTATTTTCTTATCTAATTCTTTAATTCTATGCATGAAATGCAATACTAAGCATGCATAGGATTATGATTCTCAGTGAAGCATAACCTGAAGAAATCTAAAGAGAAGAAATCCTGTTTTTCAGCAAATCAATTCAGCTGCAAAGAATAGAGAGAACAATCTAGAATATATGTGCTAGATAATACAATGGAGACATAACTTGTGTAACACTGCTTGTTAGGTAACTGCTCAGAGAACTACTCAACTGTTGGTATTTAATACCATTGCAGTCTCTGTCAACTACTAACTATTCCATGGGCACGATCTACTCAGAAAAAATAAATTTAATGGGAGAAAAAAAATCAACCCCAAAAAACAACCCATTAGTCAGAATCTTAGCTGCATAAAAAAAAAGTAGATTTTCCTTCACCACTTTATTTGGTATTTTTGAGATTTGACTTAATATTTGCTGCCAGGTTATTTTCTTTTGGTTTTTGTGAATCCTTTGCTTGCCACATATAAAAATAACCAGACATACACAGATTAATTTAAGGTGTTACTTTTCATATACTTTATGGGGTGCTAATTTACTGAATATGAATCTTTTTATATTACATAATCCCGTGAAGGGCTTTATTTCTGTCTCTGCTTTGAGAAACTTTATATTTCTCCTATCAATCACAAAAATACATGAATGCTACTATATGCAAAAATAAATGTGCAAACATGTTTGTTTTTCATGTTGCACTGCAAACACAAAAATTGTTACTCCTAATTTTGTAGGAAAGCTCTCAGAGCGACTTCCAGGTCTAGTTTTGAGACTTAAGATGTGGGTAAATTGTTGGGAATCTTGGAATCAATTAAATACAATGCTAACTAATTTAGAGTACAGTAGCTTTGTGACCAGCAGCACTATAATCTCTGAAATGTTTCCACTGACTTTCATGTCTCTTTAGAGAACAAATGATTGGAGGAGACAAAATATCATATCCCACTCGCTGTCTAGTCAAGTCTCTAGGCAATATTACTTTGTTCCCTTAACATCTCATTCCAACAGATTCTTTCTTATCACTTTGTGCTTTGGAAAATGTGTAAAATTCGCTAAGCATCATAGTGTTTAATAATAAAATTTATAGTGTTCTTTGAAAACTACTACATGTAGATGAATAAGAATTTATGTATTTGAATGTTACAGTTTGTGGTACTTAGATAATTTATTTTGGTTGGCACAGCACCCTATTAAAGAATCTGAGGTGATGTAGTTATGATTCAGCTGTAATTGCTATGAATGAGGTGCTTTTAAAATAAATGCAGAAGTGTTATTTTTGGCATTCTGGCAAGTATATATCTGAAGAGATAAAAATAAATTAGTATCAACCTATGATTCAATACTAGTTGTAGGAGTTACTACAATTCAAGGTTCAAAACTGCTGTAAAACTGCATCTTCTTCTCACATGAGGCATCATCTTTGTGCTGATTTCTTTTTTTCCCTAATAATCATCATTACTGTTCACCTCACCTTAATCAAAGATATGAGAGCTTTGACTTGCTCATTGTATAGACTTACAGCTCCTAAGGAGTGTTTATGGGGGCAAAAAGAAAAAAAAATGAGGTTTCCTGATCATTGTGAGAACAGAAAGAACCACCAGATACAGACAATAGAATTATTCAAGGATTTATGGGGCTCGAGTGTGTCCATAAGGGTAGAAAACTGAATG